GCTTTTGGTGTGCTGATTCCGGGCTGAGCACCGCTGGCCGTCCGGGGAGCTCCATAACACCGCCACCTAGCGGCCGCTAAGTGTAACCGTGGCCACCGAGTAACAGTGAATTAAGCTGCGGTTAACCGCAGCTACTGGGTGGTCAATTGACTGCACACGCTTGTTAAGCCGCGGTTAACCGTGGCTTCAGGGAGGTAGATTGGTGGCGCACGCCAGCTTATGGGCTGCCAATTAACAGCGCCTGCCGGCTCCCCACGGCTCTGGGGAGGCTAATAGAAGGCTGTTTGTTCGGTAGATAGAATCTACCCAAAGGCTGTGCAGAAAGGCACGAATGAGACTTTCTGCACAGTAAAATAGACTGTTTAACTGCCAGTCCATAGTCACAAGGGAGCAGGCAGGCAACCCTGCTCCTCCAATGTACAGTGGCGAGATTGGTCTCGTCACAGTACCGTACCAGTTCATTTTACCTCCAGGTTTTGGCATTGCAGTTCCTTTGAAAACACAGTAGACTTGCCTAAACACATTGCCTTTGGAACAACCTTTTTTTTTTTTTTTTAACTGGGAGATAAATTAAATGCTGGCTGTGTGCAAACGTTTGGGTGACATATAAATGTATTCATATCAAACAGTATCTGCATAATCATAGATACATTACTCATTTGTACAACCCAAACCAGTAAAGTAAGGTAGTGTCATACAGAGTAAGGTGCTCAGAATTGCATTAAAAGTGCTCAGTGCCTCAGATAGGCGGTTTTGCAGAGTTTAAACAATATGCATGTGAAACATTTACACAGTGAGCACTGAAAATATGAAGTATATCTACATATCTATTATACAATTGAAAAATATTCTTGTAGTTTAAGCACAGGTAAATTCATTGACACTAATGGATCATTGGCTTTGATCAATATAGGGTATATCTAGAACACCAAGTGACAAGAAAAAAAAATGATTATATTGCATGGTTTGAGCAGCTTCGACTTTTATGAATTAATTTATTTTTGTGTGCCAAGCTCTCTAGTATTTGAATAAATAACATTACTTATGTTTAAAATCTCCCTGTTGAATTATTCTTTGTATTCTTTGGAATGAAAGGATGGTAAAGTCAGAACATTTTCTTGTTTTTACTCTTTGCAGGGTTTACACTCCCCTGGACAGTGAATTTGTACCTGAATATTTTGTTTAATGAGTGAATGTCCATACACAAGGTGAAGCAGTATCTGATTCAATAAACTCACAGGCACTCATTAGGTAGCAAATATTTTGGTGCAGAATAAAACATATCTCATGTAATCCCAGTAATAAACATGTATTTGAATGTAAAACTGCAGGATTGCAATATCTGTGACATCTGGGGACCGGTCTTTTGGGCACCTCTGGTTTAGAGATTCACAATTAACGCCTTTTTTTACTGAAGGAATGCCATTAAAGTGTAGTATTTATTTAAACAGGACAGGGAAAAAGTGCAATTTTGTATATAGATTGTAGTTCAAGGATAGCTGAGAAAATCAAACATATGTATATTTACAGTTTTGATTTAAATAAGGCGTTAAAAAGGGGCCTGATCTCAGTGGTAAGTGTATGCATCTTTCTAGGCTGAACTTAACCCTTAACTACGCGGTTGATTTAGTTCAGATTTCCAAAATATTTAATTTCTCTACAATTTTGGTTGAAATATTTTCAGTTAGATTTTAAAAAATTGTCGATCAAACAAAAAATTGCAAGCAAATCCCTTGTCTAGGACTAATACCCATACACGCAATCAATGGAGGCCCTTTACACAAAGACGTATTACTGGGCCTTAGGGTTGCCGGACGTAGCGACGTAGATAGGCAAATAGAAAAAGGTAGAGAATAGACAAACAGGCCAAGGTCAGGAGAGGAGACGAAAGGATAATCATAGAACAAAGCCAAGGGTCAAGGATACCAGAGTAATGGATAAACCAGATACAAAGCCAATGATACCGGAAAAGTCAGAGCTATAGGAACGCACCCTCAGCCTAAAAAGACCACGACGGGGAAAGAAAGTGATGTCAGAGGGAGGTATCAATAGGTCTATGTGTATTGATAGGCTAGGGAATTAATTGTGTTAATTATGTTAATTAGGGAAGTGTAAATGGAGTGCATTTACTGGACTACTTCCCCTTTAAAGAACCAAAAAAGGACCATTGGTAAGGCGCATGCACACTAGTGATTATTGTGTTCATGTGCATGTGTGCACCTGCTATGTCAGCCGACACCCCTGGGGTGCTGTGGTCTCCAGCTCATTGTCAGTACACCTGTTACATTTGGGTTTAGGCATTGATCACTTTACTTGCCTAGAATATGTGGTTATTGGTTAGGTGATTACTTTGCATGTTTGCACTTTACTATTTGTATGTGTGTACTTATACAAATTATGTGAATAATTATCTTTTGTGCCTCCAGATGTTGCTGAACTGCAACTCCCATGATTCTATGAATGAAATAGATAGGCTGAGAATCATGGGAATTGTAGTTCAGCGACATCTGGAGGGCCGGAGTTTGGGGAAGCCTAGACTAAGCAGATACAAATTACTATGTACAATTAGCAGCTTTTTTTGAATGTGAGTCTGAAGCTGTTCTCCACTCCCACTAGTTAAACCAAATTAACTCATTACAAAGTTCACAGGCAGACACATCCACACAGAACCATGCTGAACAATGACAGCCTAACCCTCTGAGTGGCAATTTATACTCTAATACTACATAATACGTGACCGTACTAGTCCTGCATGCTAGAAGCTCCGCCTTTCGTCAACCTTTATCAACTTGCCAATTTCGTCAACTTTTTTCTACTTTCTGACTTATATGGTTTGATTGCTTTGGAATTTCAATGAAATTCCAGCATAGTCAACAATTATTTTTTTTCAAAGATTCTTTATGAAATGCTCAAATAATGACATGAAGTAGCAGTCACTTTAAACAATCTCTGTGTCATATTCAATGACAGGTTTCTATTAATAATAAGTTACTTTTTTCGATGCATGAGACAAACATGGTTATTTACTAAAGTGAGAATTCAAAGTGAATTTTAAAGGGACAAACTTAAAGGGCACTAGAGCCACCAGAACAACTACAGCTTAATGTTCTGGTGTCTACAGCCTGTCCCTGCAGAATTATTAATATAAATGCCGCCTTTTCGGAAAAAAAGGCAGTGTTTAAATTCTTGCTTAGTAACATATCTAGTGGCCACTCCTCAATGGAGATGCTGAACGCTCCCCATAGAGATGCATTGACTCAATGCATCTCTATGAGGTAATGCTGATTGGTGCAGCACAGCATTTTGTTGCACATGCGCAAAAGCCTTCCAATGTTTTCCCTTGGAAAAGCATTGGATTGGCTGAGATTGGCAAATTTGATAATCTCAGTCAAGGAGGCAGAGAAGAGCGGGCCGGGGCCAGCCGCAACGAGACCAGCATGGCTCTGGAAAAAAAGTCAGTGAAAACACCTTTTTAACAGGAGTTAAGGGCTGAGCACCTAAACAACTTTTACAACCATAGTTTCAGTAATACATGTATGTGTTCCTTGACACTATAGTGTTCCGTTAAGGTCAAAATAGAACTTCCCAAACTGGAAAAATTCTCTATTTCAGCCATGCTTCCTCTTTGGACTTTAATTTGAAATTTACTTTGAACTTTCACTTTAGTTAATAACCCACAGAGTGATCCCAAGTTTGTGCTGGCAAAGTCCGGAGACAGTCTTTTTTTGTGTGCTTGAAGGGCCGCCATCAGAAATTTTGGGGCCCCTAACACTGCTCAAGGTCTGGGCCCCCCGGGTGCCCGCCTCCAAGTATGCCCCCAAAGCCTGCCTCCAAACCTCGTCCACATGAATACACAGACACAAACACATGCACTGATACAAAAAGGACACAGATACACACACACACACACAAAGATACACACATACTGACACACACACATACTAACAGACACACATACTGAAACAAACATACACACATACTGAAACAGACACTTAGACATATACAAACACACAGACACATACTAACATACAGACACACACACACGCATAAGGACATACATACTGACATACATACACACTGACAGACATACAGACAGACATATAAATACACATGCTGACATACATACATACACATACATACAGATACATACATGCTGACTTACATACACATACATACATACACATACATACAGATACATACATGCTGACTTACATACACATACATACATACTGACATACATACATACATACATACACATACATACAAATGCATACATACAGATACATACACACAAATACAGATAGATATACATACATACACACAGACAGACATACATACATACATACATGCAGATACATACATACATATACATACAGATAGATAAATAGATACATACAAACATACATATACATACATAAAGATATACATACAAAGACATGCATACAGATACATACAGACAGACATACATATACACAGATGCATACTGACATGCATACAGATACATAGATACAGACATACATACATATACATACATACACATACTGACATACATACAGATACATACTGACACACACACACATAGCTAATTTTTCTTACCCTTTTTTTGCAGGAGGGTGGCTGGGTCTGATGGGAGTCGGCGTGACTCTCCCGTCCTCATGGCCTGGCTGTGTCTCTCTTCTCTCCTGCGCGAAGGGAGCTGGGAGGATGTGACCGTCCGTCACTTCCTCCCAGCACTACTTGCGGCTGCAATTTTTTTAAAGGGTCCCGGTCGCGTTATTGCAAGGCCGCAGCGCTTACCAGGCCCCTGAAGATATAGGGCTCCTATGGGTGGCCCTAAATGCTTGGGCCACCTGATGGGCCCTACCAGCGTGCGGACCCTGGTGCAGGTGTACCGTCGGCAGTTCCACCGCTACCCTGATGGCGGCTCTGACGACAGTTACATGGATTGTCTTATGTTTGAGAAAGGGGTGTGGAGACTTTATCCTATAGGAACATAGAGAGCTAAACTCAGATAAGACATAATTTAGAAGCAGCCACAGTCTCTGTTACACTTTTATAACTTGGATTAGTACAGGGAACGTTTGAGATTTTTCCCATGTTGACTATGACCTAGACTGGATAAAAGCGCTTTGTTCCCAGCTACTCAACTTTGTCTTTTCACTGTCATATATTGATGAGAATGATTTGTTACTGAAGCATTAGAACCATTTGTACTATAACATAATCATATAATCAGCCTTGGGCTATATATTGTGAAATAATTGTCCTAACCTGTGCATGGGGCTGCCATTTAGTGTGCAACAAAACACTCAAAGAGCAGCATTGACATATCATTCTTTATTAAACAGGTAATTGAACAAATTAAAAAAACTAATTGAAAATGTAAAGAGACATTATAGGCACCCAGACCACTTCTTATTATTGGAGTGGGGGTGCAGTGCCCCTGTCCCACTTAGTCCTGCAATGTAAATCAATTGTACAGCGCTATGGAGTCTGATGGCGCTGTATAAATAATAAAATAATAATAATTGTAGTTTTTTAGAAACTAGTACTAAGCCTCTAGTGACTGTCTGCCAGAAACTCACCAGAGGAGCTTCTGGGATTTTACCAAACTCTAGGTCGTGTAACTGACATGAGGACATCCAGCATTAGTAAAATCTTCATAGGAAAGCATTGAGTCAGTGTTTTCCTATGGGAAGGGCCTAATGCGCTTACAGTGCTCACTGTGCATGTACATTAACCCCCCCCCCATTCCACCCTCCACCCATCAAATGACATCAGAGGAGTCCGAGTGCTGAACTAGCATTGAGGGAGATTGGCAACTCAATTGGGTAAGTAAATAAAGGTTTTATTTATCTACCACGGGGTGGCTGTGAGGGGGTGGGAGGCAGAGGGCGTTATAATGCTGGGAATAGAGATCTGTATTCCTAGGACTATAGTATCTCTTTAAGGTCAAACCGTTTATATTTAAAAATTCTACAGTTCAATAATTTTTTGGCCTAGAATTGAAATTTTTGTTTATCCAATAACAATACGTGAGTGTTAAATAAAGGAATGCAGCTGTAATATTTTTAACTTGAACTTTAATGTGTGAAAGTTGTATAGAACAAGTATGTAACTGGCTTGCTGTACCGAAACAAGACAAAAATATTTTCAATGGATTGTGGTCTCAATTTAATATTTTTTGATAAGTCTTCAAATGATTTAATATTTTGGATAAACTTTTAGTTGTTATTAAATTATTTTACTATTTTGATATTTTTTTCATATAAAATATATATTTTTGTAAAATCATTTTAGAATCCTATCTAAAACAAATTAAATCAAGGCCTACATTATATTATTTCAGGGAAGGAACCTGGAGCTGCAGTTCCGCAACCCTGCCCTTTCATCTCCCAGGGGCAGAACCAGAAACCCAAATTGGGAGAAGCACTGCAAAAAAATGAATTTTAATATGAATTATGGATATTAAAATATATGAATATTTAAATATGGATACAGATTTTGCAATGGGGAATCAACAGTTCAGACAAAAGGTAATGTACCTCGCTTAATTATTAGCGCAGTCAATGAGCATTGAAATTACTTCTGAGAGTGATCATGCACTCTGAGGACACGTCTCTGGAGACCCATTGAAGCTACCTGAGATACCATGATCTATTTCAGGACTGCCATTTCAAGGCACTTGTCTTTATACCCTCCTTGGATATGCCCTTGGCATACCCCCATTTATAAAGCATTTATTTTGTGTAAAATTTGTATCCAACTCTCTTATCTAAAAAATATATATATTCCCAGTTCCAAAATTATACTTAACTAGAGACTAAACATGAAAAGAGAGAGAGTGATGAATACTGCATTATCACTGGACCTCAAAAATAAACATCCTGGTGTCACAGGTCTAAAAAGCAGTTAAACAAACAGCTGGCTAGGTTTGTGAGCACAGAATCCACAGAAAGGTGACTGGTCTGCTCCACCTGGAATTATGATATTTAGATATGATAGGGGATCCCAGAGGTCAGAGGAAATGAAGCAGGGTGGGGATTCCAATGAGTACACTATAAAGCTCTACCTATGACTTATAGTATACAGAAATATTCAGATAGATTTTACGGAACCTATCTAAGCTAAGGTTTAAGTTTCATACAGTCTATTTATATCTCAAGGGGTGTGCTCACATTATGCAAATTTTGAAATGCTAATGTAATTGATTTCTAATGAAATTATTTTAATTAACCAAATTGATGGTTTCAATAGTTTCATGCAATTATTTCAATAACCAAGTAGTAGAATCTATCTCAACTGTGACTATATACAGCGATTGAATGCAAATAGCTTGAAGTAGTTAAAACTGCATTTATCACTTGATTTTCTTATGTATTATTACTGATTTTAATTTAAATATGTGAATTTTACATATTTTATATAATGAAGAAGGCAGGAGCCCCATTCTCCCATGCTAAGTGTTGGTACAGACTCTTGTGTTACTTCACATATTGTACTGAAAGGGTGGTTGATACTAACCTCGATCAATATAGAATGAAAAAAGTGATATAGAACGGTTTCTGAACTTCCCCTCATCCAATTTCATTATAATTGACAATTGGATATTCTGCCCCTGGCAAGTAAAAATTCAACCTTGGTAAGTATTTAGGTACAGAGGATGTCTGTTTTCATGGTGGCCTCCTGAGTTTGTTTTGGGGTATGGTATCTGTGTATGACTCATGAGTCCCTGCTTACTCTGCCACTATTTACTTATCCATTTCAACCACCAAGCGTGGTGGTTGAAGTGGTTGTATTATGTTACCATAGCTTATTGTAACAATATATATTGGCATGTATTGTCTTTCTCACCTGTCTATCTGGCAGTAACTGCCTTATAACCATAAACAAGACAACGTCCTCGTCTGCAGATTGGCCTTATCTATATTATAACAGTTCCTGGAGCTATGTGAACTCAGACAGGAGAAATCCAATGAAACTATAACACTAACCCTGGCTTTCTCTACCTTCCTTCCCTGTATTACATTTTATTTATTTATTTATAAAATATTTTACCAGGAAAGATACATTGAGATTTCTCTCGTTTTCAAGTATGTCCTGGGTCCACAAATCATTGCATTGTTACATTAGGTACAACAAAATACAAAAACAATATTAATACACAATATATACAAAATTTAACATAGAACAGGCAGGAAATATATAATCAACCATGACACGTGCATTCTGTTTTGAGGTATGTAGAGAGGGATCTCTTAAATGACTTTAGGCTTAGGGAAGATTTTAAATTGTGCGGGAGGTCGTTCCACAATTGCGGCGCTCTGTAGGAGAAGGAGGATCGGGCCGCTTTCTTTTTGTATTGAGGTAGACTAAGTAAAGTGCTTGTACTGGATCGGAGCTTATAGAAAGTGGGAACAGCTAAGGAAAGCATTTTGTTCAGGTAGGGTGGGAGTTTCCCAGAGAAGCTCTTAAAAACAAGGCTGGAAAGATGAAGGGTGCGTCTGGATTCCAGCGACAGCCAGTTTAGTTCCTTTAGCATGTCACAATGATGGGTCCTGTAATTACATTGTAGCACAAATCGGCAGAACGAGTTATACAATGTGTTGAGTTTATTAATGTGGGATTGCGATGCAGACGCATATACTACATCCCCATAATCAATGATTGGCATCAGCATTTGCTGTACAATCTTTTCCTTTACTGTAGGGCTTAGGCAGGCTTTGTTTCTGTACAGGGCACCTAATTTTGGATAAAGTTTAGATGCAAGCTTTTCTATGTGCAGGCCAAAAGATAGATTGGGGTCTAATATCATACCCAAGTATTTGAAAGAGTGGACTGCGGTCAGTGTGCCATTTGAATTTGTTTTGATGGATAGGTGGGGATTGTGTAATTTGTGCAATTTAGGTACTGTTCCAAAGATCATTGTGACAGTTTTGTCAGTGTTCAGGAAGAGTTTGTTTTTTGCGATCCACTTTTCTACCTCTGTAAACTGGTCTTGGAGCAAAGCCTCAAGTTGCGGTAGATTGGGTTTGCTCGCATAGATTACCGTGTCATCTGCGTACATGTGTACATTTGAGGATTGGCAGACATAAGGCAGATCATTTATAAATAATGTAAATAGTAGGGGGCCGAGAATGGAACCCTGGGGAACACCACACGTGACCGGGAGAGGGAGGGAGTCACTGTCAGAAATGGACACATATTGCGAGCGATCCGATACATACGATCGAAACCAGTTTAAAGAATGATCACCAATACCTGAGTTTTCGAGTTTGTGCAGTAGAATGTCGTGGTCTACTGTGTCAAAGGCCTTAGCAAAATCAAGGAAAATAGCTCCAGTTAGGGCTCCTTGTTCCATGCCAGTTTGGATGTCATTGCAAACTTTTAGGAGGGCAGTTGTAGTGGAGTGATTCTGGCGAAAGCCCGATTGATCAGGGGTCAGATAGTTTAATTGTTGGTAGTACTCACAAAGTTGCGTATGGACACATTTTTCTAAGATTTTTGACAATACCGGGAGCAATGATATTGGGCGATAGTTAGAAACCAAAGTAGTGTCACCACTTTTATGGATAGGCACTACTCTCGCAGTCTTCCAAAGTTTGGGTATGTATCCAGACACCAAGGATTCGTTAATTAGAGTTGAGACGGGTTTAGCAATTGCCGGCGCACTGAGCTTCAACAGCATTGCTGGGATTTGATCAGGTCCGGACTGGTTTTTCATTTTTAGATTATTAAGATGTTTTTTAATGACACTAACAGGTACAGGTCTAAAATTAAACTTATCTATATTGGGCCTTTGCAAATTTAGTGGGGCCTGATCCACATTTGTAGTTTCAGGATGCGTGTCATTTATTAGCTTGTCAATCAGGGCAGTAGAGCATCCGACAAAATAATTGTTAAAGGCATTTGCAACATCTAAAGGAAGTTGCAGGGTTTGGTTACCCACTTTGACAGTGGAGGGTTGGGAGTGGATTGGGGGAGTTTGTAGTTTATTTATGACTTTCCAAAAGTTTCTAGGGTTTGAGATGTTACTGTTCAGATTTTCATAGAAATATTGGGCCTTGGCCAGTTTTGTCTGTTTTGTGCATATATTTCGCCATTGTCTATATGCACCGTGATCATTCATAGAGCCAGTACGCTTAAACTTTGACCACAAAGAATCCCGAAACTGGTACATTTGGATGAGGTCAGCTGTGATCCAGTTCATATGCGCTCCTTTTACCCTCACCTTACGCAGTGGGGCATGCAAATTCCAGATTTGAAGGAGTTCAGACTGAAAGTATTCAACAGCACAGTCTAGATCTGGGATAATGTTTACTCTGTGCCATGAGAGATTCTTGATGTC